GTTTCTTTATATGTTGTTTCAGTTAGATACTGTATGAGTGTTATTTGACAGTGTTAGTATGTGGCTTTAATGTAGAAAAGTGTGGTTTCCAAAATGATTAGGAGTAGAGACATTTTAGGAATACACGGTTTGAAATTCTTCTGAATCACTCCATCTAAACTGTACCTAAACAACAATCGGCAAATATGCTTGGTCATCTGTGTCACTGAATGCATAAATGTTCCTAGGGGAATAAAAGCATAGGATGAGGTTACTGGCTGAGATACACATTCACTTCTGCCTAACAGGTATGAACATTTGATTCCTGTGATGGGTGTGAAGTTTGCATGCAATCGACATAAAACATAGAAACAATATCCAAATCATTTTATTAATTACTTACATCACTAACATCACTAGTAACGATCAATTGATAGATTTGAAAGAACACAATTTCCATGACAACACAAAACAAACACAACAATATAACAAATATATCAGTTGAATAGATGACTAGTTTTCACAAATTTCAGGATAATAAATCATTCAAATTCATAGTTCATTTACATCTTTTATCACAAATTTTGATTAATTTCTAATAAATTATTTTGTACAAAAATGTTTTAACCTAAATTAGATATGACTAATAATCAATTAAGATGATGATTGGAGGCAGTCAACAGGAAACCCTGGACCCGGGTTTCGTGCTACTAGGCACTCGTCAGCAAGGTGTACCTGTAATCTTGTGGGACCTGATGCTTCCTGACGGACTCGATCTGGTGTCACCCAGCTTCACAGTCAGAGACGTTGCCACTGGGCTATCTAAGCCGCAACCGACCTCCTGTGGGACAGAGTTGTAATCACAATTGTCCGATCGCTGGGTGGTGATCAATGTTGTGTGTCAAGTCCTTCTTAGTGCAGATCGAATGCTATCGACCAACATAGTGCACACAATATCGAGTCACCTAGACTAATGGCAACATAATCGATTGTGAGTAATAATTAATTGTTAATCTTAACAAATTTCACTGAAGTTCAGTATTTTTCTGATATTCATTATCATTTCGAAATTTATCACTGATTTTGTAATCAAAAACTGTTTTTCAGATCTTATGTATATGAAATATGATTTAAATGGCTGAACTAAATTGTTCAGTACAAACCAATCTGGATTTAGATAAAAACTTTCAACTTCTTCTTCAGAAAATCCCAGAATTGAATGATTTTATTTTTCTTTATATAAAAAGTCAAATGGAAGCAACCTTTTTATGATGCTCAGAAAGTTCACAGCTGATAAATTAATTAATTTCTTTTCATTATATATTAGCAAAACTGACACTGTTAAGCACTTCTTTCTGTAAAGATTATGCGTAATATGTAAATAAAATGATATTTTGTTTCACTTTACTTTGTACATGGTATACGTACAAATAAGTAGTTTTATTTATGGTTCAATGAATAAAAGAACATTTGGTGAAGTAGGAATGCTAAAATAAATAACGAATTCATCTGTGAACTTTTCTTTATTGTTATCGTTTAATTTTATGCTAACTATTTGGTGTAATTATTAATATGCATTTTGTAGATAATGATGAATTTTCTATCAAACTCTTTAAAGCCAGGAGTAGGATTCAGAAAGGAACTCTCTAGCATGTGTAAAATCTCTATATTCAGATAAGGAATTTTGTGTAACAATTGATTTACAATGTCAAGATTGAAAGACTGATAATAGGCGTAATAATAGTTGTGCACTTTCTAAAACCAATAAATTCTAACAGGTTTCATTAATTCCACTGAGAAATATTTTGTTTTATATAGACACTCCACACGTTTGGTTTCTGATTGAACTTAAAATCACATGATCATTTGAACAATTACTCAAGTTTGTTCCCTTTGTTTAAATATTTAAAGACTTTACTATAAATAAATATTGAGCTTCCATAGTATGTAATAGTTGAGTTGGTTAAGGCACTTCGTGAATAAATGAACAAAGTTAGCTTATTTAATTACGACACAGTTCTATAATCAGTATCGTTTGGAGAATCAGTAGATATCAAGTAAGTTCTAAAGTAATTTAACTTATTGATATGAAAATGCTTATCATTTTGGACCATTCATTTAAATTTCTATCGAAAACGGTTTATAATTGAACTCCGGAACTGGAACAATACACGATCGTTAATTGATATTATAAATTGATTGATTCAACAATTTATTTTTGCTAAATTTCGTATCTTTTTCCATTCTTAATTAATTATCTAACGTTATTTTTTAATACTATAAATAAGTATTTATAATAGTCCATAGTATTCATCAACGTAACACAGTAACAATATTATTCGTAATTATATAAGTTAGCCTGAACAAACCTAATAGATGTTGTTAACATCCTAAATTTTGAATTTATAGACTAAACAACAACGTTTACGCCAATTATTCTGTTCTCAAATTTAAATAGAATAAGTATGATGCTGATCACTGAATACAATGAATTCTTTGTATTTCATTGGTTTCTCTTGAATTATGGACAGATATATAAGTTTAATAAGAAGACGAAGATTATCAGAAGTATTTGATATATTAGCGCAATATATTTCGAACAATCTAATCACACACTACATACTTGTTAAGAACATTTATATATAAAAATAAACGGTCATCTAGACTGGAAATGGGGTAAGAGGAGACAAGGATAGTAAAGAAACAATATGAAAACAATTTGTAAGCACATCACTGTAATATTACCAAGGTAGGTTTAATATGAGCACAAACTGTTTTTTTATTATACAATGGAGGTTTGAATTTTCGTATGGTTAAAGCTTGATATACGCCGTTTTTGCAATTTTGTAGAACACTACAAAAGCCGAGTTAAAATCAATCTTATGGCTTGTTTCAGTTATCTGTTTGATCAGAATGTTCGAAATATATTGCGCTAATATATAATCACATAGTTCTGATAATCTTCGTCTTCTGATTACACTATCGAAATTTATCAAAGAGACTAATTACCTGATAGAAGTTTAGCTATTTTAAATTACTATTAGTATTAATTTAAAATGTAACTGTTAATTATAATTACAATTTGGTGATTTGAACCCACATTTTTTGTTCGAAATTTTCTTTACATTTTCTTTTCATAATGTTACGTAATGAAACATAACGAAACTTAAAAAGAACTGATCAGACTACAGTGTTAGATCTCTTTCTATCTTAAAATTTCAAGTTAGATGAATTTCATTAGTTTCTTTTTTAAACTTACACCAAGAAATTAATTGTTGACCAAGCTTTTAATCAAGTAGATTCGTAGTAGTGGGAGATTGTGAAAATTGTTGAAATCATAATTTCATTTGACAGATTGATGTTAGTTAAATGTGATATTGGAAATCAACAAACAATGAATAGTTGTATCGTCCTATTACAAGAATAATTAGTAGCGCTTATTGACAAGCCTACTAAGTATCAAATCAAATAAATAAAAGCCTCGTCGTTAGTGAATATTCATTAGTGAAAAACTGTGGCCAGTAGAATTCAGTAATGTTGGTAGTGAGGCAGTTATTCACCAATGATAATGAATTTATGGTCTCGCAAAATTACAAACTGATTAAATTAATAAATACAAACACTTGAATGATAACTGAAAGTTCGAAAGACAATGGGATAGGCACATGACGTAAAGATATGTGGTTCAACCCCCGATGAGGTTATGGATGTGCACTGCTGTAGTTTTCTACAATTTGTCACTGGTATAAAATCCCTACAAATTATATTTAGAAAGCCGATAGAGAAAACACGTATCTATCCTTCGAACTTTAGATATTTGGAGGCAATCGACAGAAGATCATGTACCTAACTTTCAGATTTTTCCAATAAACTATTCTGATCGTGGTTAGTCTCATACAGGACTGAGATATTTACACTCATTGATTACTGGTCGATAATCATTGTAGTTCATTTCACAATGCGTAATGATTTTTATCAATCAAGTTGCAATACGACCACTAGTGTACATGGGTTGATATTACGTGAATACCATTCTCTATTGAATGGTTTAAAGTAATCACTAGGGGACCTTGGAGATAAATTATATTATAAATGAAGAACTGTACTGGTGTGATCCATTTTTAATGTTAAATGTTTTGGTAGCATTTTAATAATTTATTATGATTATTGATTTGATAATTGTTGTCTTTATAAAAAAAGAGACTGTGATAATGTCTGATTAGCTCTTATCATCTAAAAAGGAGTTTCTCGTCTCATTAAAATGTACTGTTCACCTAAAAATAGCACGACATTGTTAACCATGTAAATGAAAAATATTTAGTATTTCTGATTTTTATAATTCTAATCAAAATAAATAGTTTCCCAGATACAGACTAGAAATCGGCACATGTACGAAGATGATATTTTTTCGCCTTATTTTGTTTACTGGCACTGGGTAGACAGAAACAAAAGAGATATGACAGTCAAAATGTGTGTTTTAAATGTATATTGTATCGAATTTAGTGTAAAAAACCGACTAATACAAGTTCTAACCTTATGATAATAATACACAACACCGTTGTCTTAAAGGAAATACGGTAAGTGTCCATCAATTAGAAGCGTACTTGTTTTCAATGTTCACTATTTGTGTGCGATCAAGAATTTTCGAACATTTTTCTACTTATTTAGCTGTTGATTGTTGAATTTAAAAGCATAATTTTTACTGAGAATTCATTTTAAACTCTAACTTTCACTTTATTTCCCATTTTTATCGGACAAATTAGGATGCACTACTGTGGCATACCGATAGAAGATAATTTAGATAGATTTAGATGTTTGAAGTAAAATCTCCAGGGAAATCATGGTCATTTTTCGAGCCCTCACCCAATAAATGACAGGGAAAATACTTGGAAATACAAGTTAATACACCGTTATCGAACACCGAATAAATGATAATTAATCTCTCTCTTAAATTCTGCGTTATCAGAAAACTACTATTCATATACAGAATTATGTGATGAAAACGATTATATTCATCTTACCATTCTATTTAATTCTTCATGTAAATCACCTAACTTCTTTTTTAATTCTGTACAATAATTGTTTAGCACATCGTTAGATCTTTGCAATTCTACTGAATGTTTTGCAGCTTCTGTCGCTTTCTCACATATCAGTTGAAGTTGTTTATTCTATAAATAATTAAATAAAGTATAACATTTAATAGTACGCATAAAACACAAATAATTCCATGTTTTACATCCGAAAGCAGATAAGTCGTGTGTATGAACCAATTTGGCACTGGGTCAAAATATTAGAAAACATTGATTTGATTTTGATCATAATGCAGTCACTACATGAGTAAGTTTGTATTTCGATCCATCTCTGAATTAAAACGTTAACACAATTCTTAGTGACATTCTGCCTAAAAACAAATTTGGGGTTATCTACGACGTCAAATAGTTTGACAGTTAAATGAATATCAACTGATATCATAAAATGATTTGATTCTTATTAAATTACGGGAATTTGTGAATATTATAGGATTTTCATAGTTTAGATAACAACTTTTAGAGTTTTAGTGAGAACCCTTTAATATTTGAGTCCAGCCACATTGCGTGTGAGACAGTTATCCACCGTGGGTAATAGATAAGGGGTGCACAATCTCGTGAGTTGATTGAAATTAGATATCAACACTGCTGGATGCCAACTCAGTAGTCTAGAGACTAGGACTAAAAGTTCTGATTTCGGTCACAGGATGAAGGATTAGGGGTGTGTACTGCTAAGCAGTTCCATGATACGATGGTACATACATACAATGCTATGAACGTGGTTTACCTATGATTATTTCGTGGTTCGAACTATGTGAATATGCTTAAGTTGGATTTATCTAGTAATTAGTTAACCTATTGCCTGACTGAAATAATAAATACATAATTGCCAGAACACAGCATAAAAAGGTTACAATATTTGCCACCTTCCTTCCATAATGTTAAGTAAAAGCTTGGTAAAAATATGAAGACAATGTTATGAAATATATGTGAATTCTCTAAACATGTATACAATCAGCATAACACTTTGCTGCCACTTTTATTCTGAGATTTAAGGTTGTTGGGAATAGTCGGCAAGAAAACCTTCTTCACCTACGTATTAGGCAAGTTGAGAATCATTAGCAAATCACACCTGTAATCTTGAGTTCATTGTTATTCCCTACGGGGTTCAAAGCGGTTTCAATCACCTTCACTGTCTAACATAACATTACATTGATTAGTACTCAATGACCAATCGATTATAGATATACCAGTCCTACAGGAGATTCATCGCGGGCAGAATAGCCCAATGATAAAATCTCACAATGTGAAGCTCGGTGACCATGTTCGGATCCACCAACTACTATCAGTCCCTTCAATATCATAGGCACGTCTTGCTGACGAGTGACAACAAGCACAAAATCCAGGTCAATCACGGCTTCCTATTGTCTACCTCAGACAACTTAATATTCCAACACTGAGCACATGATGTCGCGTTACTTGACTAGTGGCCACATTACATCATGCCCAGTAAATTTCGAATAAAGGAACACAAATATAAAATTCTTCACTACTCAGAGATTGATTAGTTACAATTTTTTTAATTTAACAGCGAACAATTATCCCAATTGGAAGATGTATATGCTTCGAGACAGATATGAACAATTAGTCACTAATAGAAAATGTGGTAATCTGATGTGTTAGTGGATTGAATATTCAACATAGTTTACAACATGAACTTTCAACCAGTAATAGAAATAGAACGCTGTTTTAACATTTAATAACGTATCATAAGGGGTTTTTGTGGATATTTCAGTAATTTCAATAGTTGAGATCATGAGTCAATTGAAGTTAAACCACCATGGAAAACCGGGGTTCGAATCTCTCGAGGCGGTATTGTGGAAATGCACTCCTGTGGAGTCCCACAATAAGACGAAATGGCTGTAATTGACTCATAATCTCAACTATTAAAATTTAACGATGCGTTAG